ACTGCCCTGCAATCTCCTAGGTCTGACCCACTCAAGAGGTACAGTTGCAACTGATATTCTCTCTCACTCCCTTCCAATACCTGCTCTCCTCCCAGTACTGTCACTAAGACTCCCCAGCTCCCTGGATTCCCAGGCATAGCCTGCATCCACAACTGTGCTGGTGCATCCAGGTGATCAGCTTGAAAGAAGCAGCCAGCCTTTCCACAATTTTGGTGTTATTATGGACCTGGGGGTGCTTGTAGGATCCAGAAGAGGTGGTGGGACTGCAGCTCACCAGTGCAGACGTGCGTGGAGGAGCACTGTAAGGAAGCTAATCTGCCTTTGTCATGTTTGTCTGATCTAATGTGGCAGTTGTGGTGAGGTGGGCTAAAAATCAACAATGAAAAAGGCACTTCTGCACTTAGCAGGGAGGTACATTGCTATACCTTAAGACTCAGAGGATACTAAAACGTTTCAGGGTTTCAAATAAGAAAAAGACCCAAGAAAACTCTATTGGGGGCTATTACATACAAAACTGCTGCTGGTGTGGCAGCCCCTGAACTACCAATTGCTACAGCTAGAAGATTATTTAGGAGAAATATCCTCATATGCTTGCCCTGTTCTTCTACTTTTCCCTTGGGATCTAGTTTTGGGACAGAATTTGAGCCTGAAGGGATTTTTATCTGAGCTAGTGTGATCCTTCTTGCAGTCTCACACTTCAAGTGTGTGCGTCCTTTTGTACATCAGAATGAACTTTCCAAGGCCTATAGCAACTGCTGGGTTAGGTCGGTGTCGTGTGTTGGAAAGAGGATCTCTCCCTTCCCTATGGGAAGTAGTTTCTACCAGCTGCAGTGCTCAAGGCAAGGGCAAGCAGCCAGAATGCCAAAATTTGCTTGAATCAGGCTGGACTATTGAATGATTGTGTCCTTTGGCTGTTAGGCAGCACTGACAGGGAACTTTTATTTCTTTGAGTATTTGAAAGCCGCGCTGTTTGTTTGCTATGCCCATGGCAACCAGCACCAGCTTCTTTTAGAAACCCTGCCTTTACTTTTTTTTAAAAGATAAAATATAAAATAAAAAGTTGTTGTGGCATGTCTCCCTCATTGTGGCATGCCTACCTCTCTGATTTTAGTTTTGTTAGAAATTTTTCGACAGCCGTAGGCTGGCCGTGGCCATTTCCAGCACAAATTTGAAGAACAGCGAGGATGTCGCTGAAGTCAGTCGCACTGTCCTGCTCAGCAGCAGTGCTGAAAGCCTCTCCCCTGCCGGCTCTCAGCTCAAAGGGATTTCCCACATTTCTGGTGCTAAGGAGTCTGCAGGTGGAGACACAACATTCTCCTCTTTTTTCAGGTCAGGATGTTGTATTGCTGCTGACACTCGGCAGTGGAGTGTCCTAGAGCATCTCCACTAGAAGAAACAGTCCTTTCTGCAGTTGTCTGTGCCAAGCAGGAGCAGTGCCGGGCCCTGAGGGGTCAGTTCTCCGTCAGAGGAGCTGTAACGATGCTGAGGGAACGAGCACTGGGCAGCAGTGGGATGGAAACCTGATGGCTTCTGTCACCTAGATTTTTTTCAAAGCAAAGGAGAGTTGTCCCAGAGTTGCTGTTACATGTCACGGAGCCTTCCCTTCCATCTTTCTTTTGAGTCAGCAGCATATCTCTTCATCTGGGTCTTCCAGTAAATAAAAATGGGCAGTTCAAGCTATTTATACATTTAGCTGAGTTCAGCAATGTGCTCCAGCTGAAGAAAAAGTTTGGAGGAGAAGGGAAGAGCCTGAAAAGATGTTGAAATTGTTCTTTTGTTTGATTCAAAACTGAAAACTTTTAAATTACAGGGGAGGCTTGGGAGACAACAGTTTTCTACAGTGCTGGCCACTGCCTGCTACAGTGTGCCGTAGGCTCCTCCAGGCTTCTCCCCATTCCTTCTATTTACTTATCATGCTTATTCTCTTCATCTTGTTTTGTGCTGGGCCTGACACTGCTGAAATAACAACCCGAGCAGACTAATCTCTCCTTTGAGCTGACCTTCTTCTCTCCAAGCACAGGAAGCAACAGAAACGTTTTTTTTTTTTTTTTCCTTGACTTTTTTTAACCTCCAAGGGCTTGAGATCAGAAGAGCCAGGCACCTGCCAGGGACTGTGTTTCTAGAGGTGGAAGGAGGTATTCACACTGGTACTAGGAGGATATAAGCACGTGGGGCCCTGCTGGGCTGCCCATCACGGGTACCAATGCGCCGTTTCCAGACTGGCAGATGTGGCATAGGCTGGTGGTGTGGGTCTGCCACCGACACTTTGCCATCAGGCCCTTGCTCTGAGACCCCTGCTCACTCCAGCTCTGAGCCGCTTCTCTCCTGCTCTGCTTTCTGCAGCAGCTGCAGAGCATTGCTTGGACCGGGGGGAGCGATGGGAGGTTTTTGCAGCCAAAGCATTAGTTTCAGAAGTTGTGCTAAACAGAATTAACTGGCCTTGCAGTTGTTTCTCTTAAGAACTTCTGGGTATTTTCTGACACTGGAATTTTTTGAGTGGCTGTTGTGGATGAATTTTCTATGTTCTTTTAATCGACTTTTTGAAAGGGTATCAGGTACCTTCCTGATATTGAGAACTGCTGGGGTGTGACATAATTTCCCAGGAGAAGTCACAGAAAGCTATAGTATCTGAGATGTTTAAAAGGTGACTGAATTTAAGACTAGAGGATCATAATTTTGCATTAGCAAGAAAATGAGTGATCTAAAATTAGTAATTCCTGCTCCTCTGCAATACATAACATGGCAGAGGAAGTTCTGTAAAATGTTCCGCAAAAAAACCTGGAAGCTGCCTTTTTTCCTGGTGACTGTTATACGCAAGTTTTAGGTTCAAATACCTGAATATCACCTTCATTAGACTTTGAGAAATACTGCTACCCAAAGCTGCACTTAAATATGTGAACAGCCCTGTTCACTTCTAAAGCTACCGGGATTCGGTGTCCCAGTTGAGCATAGGGAGTCCTATAAAGAGGAAGCACTTGGAGTAATGCACGGGGGTAGCTGTAGCATAGTCCTTTTGAGCTTTTCTTATTCTAGGTAGCACACAGGTTCCCTCCCTCTGGTCTCTCTGGAGAGCTGACCTTGGGAGCAGAACTGCTGTCAGCAATCAATGTCATATAAACAAACAGAAACTTCACACCATGTCAAAAATTTTAAGGCATTAAAACCAAATATTTCATTTTCATAAGTTGCTCCAGGCCTGAATAGACCCTAGTTTTCTCTAATGTTCAAGTGTTTACTCTGGACAAATGCCCTTCCCCGTCCATCTGTGTAACTCCCTGAACAACCAGAGGATGCTGAATGACAAAGCAAAGTGTCCTCTCTCTGCTTCAGGACAGATAGAGTGAGACATTTGCTCCGATAACAATACTGGCACAAAGCCGGTCGCTACCCAGACCAGGCATGAGTGTGTGGAAGCACAGTAAATCAGCTCTGCAGCATGCTTTGTTGGTAAACTTAGCCTGCTCTCCGTGCCAAGCTATAAAATCGTTGGATCAAAGTAGAGCTGGGCCTGAGTCCAAACTTCGGGGGAACTTGGATCTATATCCCAACTCTGGGACTTGTTTCTGCCTCTAAATCAAGCTCTTATAATCTCTCAGGAAAAGTCAGACCCGTGAATTATCCACCAGGTCACAGAAGGAGAGACAAAACTGTCTGTTTGTGAACATGTTTGGTCTGCCTGCTCTGCGTTGTCTGGAATTTGGGTGGAGCCTTTCATTCATCCTGGAACGCCGATCTTAGCCTTTGGTTTGGGAAGCAGCCATCCATCCTTAATCTCCTATTTTAGTGTCAAAATGATTCTTCTTCCCCTTCCTTTTCCCTGATTAGGTCTGTGAATTGAGACACAAGGTAGGCAGAAGCTGTCTCCTGCAGCTTTTGCAAGGAACATCACTACACCTTACTGCATTGCTGGGGGGAGAGGGACAGATGGGTCGCTAGGGGAGGGGAGCAGAAGCTTGCACATCCTCTGGAGTGAGCCTCGGTGCTCTCCACACCACCAGGCGCTCGGGATAACGCCACCGTTTCCCTGTCTGCCTGGATGTGCCACCGCCAGATTGAAAGCAATTGCTGTGGGTGACTGCCTGGCACGTGCATGCCGTGGTGCATGGGTTTGAGGTGAAGTTTTCCTGTAAATTATAAACTAGAAACCATGCTCACACTGAGAGTGATAAATCAACGTGAAAAGGCAAGTGCAATTAAGAGATGACATATGGGATGGATGAGGGGAGCAGGCCCCAGGGATCAATAGAGCTGGTTTGTGTTTAGATTGAGGTCTTCTGTCTTCTGTGACCCCAAATCTTCATCCTCTGCTGCCTTATTATTGCATTATTCTGTGTTACAATAATGACAAAATGTCTCATTATTGCTGCTACCATCAGTAACAGCGGCAGTTTGTCAGCAGTGTTTATTAAGTTAAATTCCACGCCAACATATATCTTCGCCTCCCAGCACAATTTATACATGATCTGAGATGGTAGTAGAGGAGACAGAGAAAAATACGTGTCATTTTAGTGTGTTTCAGTACTTCCATTTGTTTGTTTCAAATTAAGTCCCTTCAAAGAGGTTTAAAGTTTGTATTCCTAAACTAAGCCTTTTTCCTGCTGTGGAAGATAATTTTTGGTGCCTTTGCACTTTGCGTTTGTTCTGTCACAGTCTCTGTGTCCATGAGCTTCCCAGAATTGCTAAGCCACCATCCTAAACCTTTCACAACCTTTTCCTTTCCCTTTTTTCCTATCACTTAGTTTGCTTTCGGAAGCAAACATGGTTAGAAATCCTGAAATTAAAAAAATTCTCAGTAAAGATCTACTGGCAATTCCAAATCAAGATTTTGTGAATCTTGTTTTGAAGGACTGCGGCGTTTCCTCATTTTTCCTGTATATTGTGAAGTGCTGTGGAATGCACTGAAGGGAGCAGCTTCTGACCCTATTCTGAGGCAAAACACAGGAATCTGATATTGCTTCCAAAATGCTTTTGTTTACACTAATAATAAAATAATTCCTTACTTGATTTCTGTTTGTCCTCCTGCTTTTCGGGCGATTTGAATCAGCTCTTTCCCATATCTCTCTTCTGCTTGTGCTCTGTTAAAATAAAAACTTATTCAATTTCTCTTAGTGGTACCAGGATCACGCTTACACAGATCTTGTCATTGCATCTGAGGTACGAAACATGAGAAACACAATTTCCTTAATTACTCTCTCTCCTCGGTTCTAGTGCTGTTAGTTACCTCTAAAAGATTTAGTGTGAGCTATTTCTAGGATAAAGGAGAGAAAATTAATGCCCCCTTCCATGGCTTTGATTAGACCATGGAGTGCTAGGTAGAATTCTGTCCCCAAAAATTTGAATTCAATTAGAAGAAGAGGTGTACAGCGGTGTGGTGAGGATGCTCAGGAGAACAAAAAGCCTCTTTTGCAATAGAAACCTAAACGATGATGTCTGACTTGACCCATGAAAATCAAGGCTGGGAGGGGAGTGGAGAGTAGGATCCAAAGTATTTCACGTTAAATTTTCATTTAAAGAGATGTTCTGAATAAATGGGAGCCCAGAGTCGCAGGAAAATGTCAAACCATTAGAAACTTGAGCTGCTGCTTGAGCAGCCTCAGTGGAGGCAGAGGGGAAGGAGCCTTGCCGGCTGTAGGGTGAGGCTGCGGCAGGGGTATGGAGGGGACCTCACCTAATAGGGAACTGCAACTAGTGACTCAGTGAAATAGTTCTGTTTCTATGGTTAATAAAGAAATACAATGATTTATTTGCTGTTTTCCCTTCCCCCAGCTCTGGAAGAAATTTCTATTCTCTGATTAAAAAAAAAAAGTCTTTGTACCAAAGGTGTTATTTCCTTTCTCCTGAGTGCAAGACCACGGTGGAACTGAGTTTTCAGCCTTTGAGCAGCTGCTAAAAACTATTGAACGGTCAATAATAAATAATGAACAGGTAGCCTAGTGCTAGGTTTAGGGGAAATTTTGTTTGGAATAAGTCCAGTTCTCAGAAGGGGTTTCAAAGCATTTCAAACAGGTCTGAGCTTGAGACTTGGCACCTTAGAGAACCATATTCTTTGTTCAAAAAGGGAATTTTGATGTGGGTGCGAGGCCATGCAGCCCTGCTGGTTTGCTCTTATGTCCATCTTCCTACTCGGCCACGGTGTGCTTTATTATTGCTGTTTGCTGAATTCAGGCAGGTTTCTCAGGGCTGGTCCTTCAGTTTTGCAACACGGTGGCTGTTGGGGTGGGACCCTGGGAATATCTGACCACCCTTTTGATTGTTCCTCTGCGTCTGACAGCTGTGAGCACATTGCGGTGTAGCCAGCTATACTGGTGGCTCTGGTGCTGTTTCACTGGTTTGTAACTATCTTCTGTGACCTGAGGCAGGCTGGGCCTGGGGGCTTTCCCCCCAGTCCGGGGAGATGCGTCAGGCTGGTGCAATAGCAGCACACAGCTGCCGCAGCCAGGAGCGGTGGCTGCTCCTGGCCACTCTCCGTGGCTCCTGGGTGTCTAATGCTACACGTGCAACTAGTTCATTGTTGTCATCCTGCACGAGAAATTGCTGCATTTTGGTGGGGTGTTCAGACATCACTGCTTTGGGATTCCTCCTAGAAGAATGGGATGCAGAATATGGTGACAGGCCACCCAGAGGTACCACTTCATTTTCATGTGAGATGAATGGAATTTCATCAAAATGGAAATATACTCCAGAGACACATTCTGCTGCAGAAGCAAAATAGGTTATTTTTCTTCGAGTTTTAATAACAAGAAATGTTTTTGTGTCAGAGACTTTGCTTTTCACATCTCGGTGCTGCCTTTCCCACTTTCCGGTGTTCTTGCACTCAGCTTGCGGGTCTCCTGCAGCCACTGAGAGCTGGAACACCTTTTGTGGTTTAAACCTGTGGCTTTGCTGTGGAATACAACTGCTCTCTCAAGCCCCAAACTCTTAGGCCCTCCTCTGGACCAGGCAGGGGTGTTTGTGAGCAAAAGTAACAGGCCTGGGTGCAAAACTGATCAAGTGTTGGTGTAGCCTTGCTGGATTTCTGGCGTGAAGCCCATGGTACAGGCAGCCTCTCGGAACACAGATTCATCCCATGCTTTGATCTCCTCCTAGGTCACTCCCATGAATGACATAAGGACAAGCTGAAACAAACATCTTCCAGAAATAAACTGGAAATGATACCTTCTTTCTGCAGCTCAGTGCCTGCTCTCTTTTCTCCTCTTCCGCCTCCCCCGGTGTACAGGTACGCACAAGCACATGCACGTACGCACGCTCGCTGGAATGTTTAGAGGGTGTGCAAAAGTTCATGGAAACAGTTGTTCTTGTAACTTTCAGATCTGCAAAATGACTGTATGTGTCTTTTTTCTTCTTTGTGGAAAGTCCTTTGTGCCTGCACTGCAAACCAGGAAGAACGTTATTCTGCACCTTGCAGAAACCTCTCTAACACGTGTTGGAAAGGAGCACAAGTGTGTCTAACATCAGATGCATGCTGCAGCGCAGAGCCTGCCTGAAGCCTGCAGTGTCATTCTGGTCGCTGTGAGTTATGAGTCACAAAGGAGCTATTTTAAACAGCGAAAGCTAAGCTACCATCAGACAGATATGACTTGAGGACTCTGTGACATGTGTCAATAAAATGTGCTTCCACTGCTGGTCAAGAAAAGCAATTCAAATAGCTTCAGATTTTGATGGGAGACTCTCTCCCCTCTGTGAAAGAGTGAACAGACAGCTCACACCCCCACCAAAGTCCCTGTGCTTGGAAAGCAGCCTTCAGAAAACCAGCACTGAACCAGAAAACTAAGTGGGGAGAGCATGGGAAGAAAAAGCAGGCTGCTACTGAGGAAGGCAGAGCAGTATTCATAAGGAGATGGTTCTAAGAATGGCTCTAGAGAGATGAGATGAGATGAACTCTTTTCTGCTGAATAGGTAAACCATGTTGTGTGGTCTTTCTCAGCGGTCATGCATGAGCGTGTATGTGCCTCCTGCTACATGTTGAACCTGTTGAAACCCAGCCACTTAAAAACAGAAACAAATTTCAGATATTTTTTTCTAGGTCAGAAGTACAAAAAAGAATGGCAAAGGAGTCAGAGCAGCTGTATAATATATATTTTCTCGCCCACAAAACTGTCAGCTGTCCATAGCTGTTGGTGAGAGACATGAACCACAGTATTGCTATTCAAAGTCCAGGAAGGTTGGCAAACCATGTGTGTTGTCTTGGGTGTCTGGCAAGGGCTTTTGGTAGCACCTCATGTAGTTTTGTCTGTATTTGAAACATGGCCTGGTTTTGGTAGTTGCAGGAAACTGAAACAGTACCTGTGCTAACAACTTGTTGAAAGAGAAAGAAAATGTGCAAGTCATTTGCTCCCTGTAAAAGGGGAAACTCAGTAATGTTGCTTGTGGATGTATGTGCCACAGTGTTATTCTGGACACATAACGACCTGGGTCTCAATGGAGCTCTGGATTTCTAATTCTTTCAATCTTCTCTGCTTTCCTCAAATCTTTGAAATTTGTATTTGTTATCTACCTTCACACATCATATCAAAAGGCTAGGATTCAAATCACTCAGGCTTTTCTATATAAACTAGTATCACTCCCAAATTCGGGAGCAGCCTACTATTCCTTTGCAGAGAGAAAATGGAGGCTCTTCGCACTTTTTTCCCCTCTAATTTTCTTACCTTTGCTTGAGCAAATCCTCCACATCTTTGCACATCTTTCTCCCATCCAGCAGCCGCTGTACAAGCACCTCATAGCCAGTGTGGAAGGTGAACTCCTTGCACTGAAGACAGAAAGATAAACTGTTGAGCTGATCTGTGCACACAGTTTGCAGGTTTACCAGGCACCTACTGTCAGTCATATGGAGCAAATTATCTTTCTGGAAAATCCAGATGGACCTTTAGATTTGCCTATTGCAATGGCAGCCAGGGCAGGGCTAAGGGCACAGGTATGGGTGAGGTTTCTCCAAAGTAAAAATCTGTAAAAGTTTTTATTAAATCAGGTTTGTTTTTTAATACTGAAAAAGTGAAGTGGGTTGCAAATTTTGCCGTGTGGAAAGCAGGGCTAGCTGTCTTTTTGGGGAAGTCACATTAGCATTGAGCGAGGGATCTTTGCAGAGCAGAGAGGTGTAGTAGCTCTTAAAGATAACAGCTCCTCTTCCCATACGTTTTCTAAAAAGAATGGCCAGAGGGCAGTCATTGTTGCAGGACTGTCAGTAAGACAGTCTATATTTGAGCAGAGAAGTAAAGGAATCTTGTGCTCGTATGAATATCGATATGGGGGTAGTGGCTGTGCCCCCCAGCTGGTGGTGCGTGTTTTAATGGGAGCACTCAGAGCACAGGCAGACAGTCTGCTGTTAGACAACACTTGGTTCTGGTGGGCTGTTAGGTTTCCCTTTGGGAATACCGTAATAAATCTTCTCATTTTTTAAATTGTTCTCGCTGGTGTAATTTCAACATGACAAGGTTTAAAAAAAAAAAAAGTAGAACATAAGCATGTAGAGCAGTTGTGAATGTGGACATTGGATCTGCAGGAAACTGTGCTTCTGAGACGCTTGTGAGTGAGTGCTGCTTCCCTTGCTTCTGCATTCACCACCACATCTCCTGTGCAATGCGTGGGATGTGCTTGTGCCTTTGGGTATTTTTGCAGCCTGTCCTGCTTCACGACCCCACGTGGCACATGGAGCCAGCCAGGGCGCTCTGTGATTTCCAGCCAGCCGCACTAGACCGGTGAGGTCGTGCAGCCAGGTGGAATTCACTGCCCCAAAGCCAGGGCTCTCATCTCCTGCCAGGGCTCTGCACTCCCGGCAGCTCAGGGCCATGTTCCTCTGCTGGGGTCTGGGACTGTGGTGCCCTCCCCATTGCACAAATCCACGTGTCAGCCTTATCCCTGTGCACATGATCCATCACAACATACCCCCATGCAACTCAGACAAACATCTGAGTAATGAGAAGAAAAACCAGTCTTGCACATCTTTAATCTTTTTACCAACTTCCAGGTCACACTGCAGCCATGGTAAATCAGAGTCACAAAGGAGCCGCTGCTACTGAGAAATGCTGGGAGCCCAGCAAGGGAAGGGAATAAAGCTGCAACGTGCTCCAAGTGTGGCACTAGGGAGAGAATAGTCCCACTGACTCACAATGGGATTGGGACAAGCCATTGTGACTTTGAGAGCCTCAGGTAGCCAGGACATAGTGATAATGTTATTGAAAATGTAGTGTTGTCTGGGCTTTATGTTATAGCATTATGGACAAATCACAGACTGTGTAACCATAAAGAGAATTAATATTTTCCTCCCTCAAGCAGTTTATGTGCAATACAAGTACTTATATATGAACCAAATACAGTTTATACATCCATCCACTGTCCCCAAAGCAGTTATCATTTAATAAATGTCTATATTGCTTTCCACCATGACTGTGAAGAAGACAGACAGCTGTTAAGTTTTGGGACTCGGGAAGGATCCTCTGGCAAGCAACTGTTGGACACTTGGGCTTGCGGCTTTGCTTTCTTATTGCTGGGACCGGAGGGGAATGGGGCGAGCTCTGGGGATGAATGGTGGTGGTGGTGGTTCGGGGCAGCCTCCGTGCTGCTCACCCTGACCCCAGGGCTTCTGTGGACGTTTGCAAACCTGGGAGCATTTGTTCGGGTTTGTGTTTTCGTTGGTTGGTTGGTTTTTTTTCTTCTTCAAGAGCAAGGATAAATTTCTGCAGAGAATTTTTGTAAACGTCCAGGTTGTAGCAACATTTTCAGTGTTACCGTTTCTTGATGGCAGTAATTCCTTCTTCCTTGGACTCTCTTACCGTGAACAGTGGGGAGAAAAGAAAGACAGCAGGCTAATGGCTCGCAAGAGACACAGACAAATGCCTCTGCCAGCAGTGTCTGCACGATAGAGCCAGGCAGGATAATAATGGAGATAAAAGAAGATGAAGAGAGTGCAGTGGATCCACTATTATCCCTGTTGGAACCACAAGGAGATGACAGGATTACATATGCTGATCTGATGCTTATGATCACCCCTTAAGAAACAGGATCTCAAAACCAAAACATAAGTTTTCCTGATGCTTCCAAGGGTGAGTTATACACAGTCCCGGGGAGGGATCCTGCTGTGAAAAAAAATGAAAAGAAGCAGTTTTTGCTATTCATAGAAGAAAGTAGGAAAGGTTCTTGATAATCCCCTGGAGATGGACTGTCACTTCCCCCTCTCCCCCCCCTTTTTTTTTTTTTGAGGACGTCTCAATGACAGAAGGCGTAGCTGCTGTAAAAAAAACTCTCATAAATTGCTCCCTCTGCCTGGCAGAAACCACTCTGGTCAGATGCTTCACAACCAACTCACATTTAATCTTTCTTTGTTTTGGGGGGATCCATCTCAAAATTTGCTTTATTGTCCTCGCTACGTGTTCCTGAAGAATGTGGAAGCTGTGTTTCAGAAACCACAGCATCTGAAATCTAACCCAGGGCTGCCTCAGCCTGCAGTGTAGGCAGCATGTGCCACTAGCATGTCACAGGCTAGAGCAAGGAGGGAGGGGAAATGCAGCCAGGTGACAGCCCAGATTTAGACAAGTTTAAGCTGCTAAGGACAGTCATCTTGCAACCACAATGTAGCCATAAATCATTTAGGCCTAAGTTTGCTTACACAAACGTTTCCCTTTCATTTCAACAGCTCTTTTTCTCCTTTAACGCATTGTACAACTGCATCCTCTCTCAACTTTTCTTGAATTCAAACAAAGCTCCTTTGCCCTTCCTGGGATACTGATTTTTCATTCCATTGATTCCTGTGTGTTCTTATAGTTCCTGTTCAAGGCTCAGTAAATCCCTGCTGGACAAGGATGATGCTCTACTACTCCAACAAAGTCTAACTGGCACTTTGTTGGAACCCTAATGACTGCTCTCTAGGAATCACTTCTGATACATCAGAGGATTGTATGATTTGGCAGTGGAAGAAGGCAAATACAAGTGGGAACTAATTGATGTATAATCTATCAATATACCTGCGATTTTCTCCTCTCCTGCAATTTTCCTTAGCGAGGTCCCAGAGTATATTGGACCTTTTTGCTACTGGTCTCTTACTCTCATTTTGCACTCTGAAACATTGCTTTTAGCTGCTTTCTGTTACCCCCGGGCTCGAGGGTATCAGATACCTCCTGTACGATATTTCATTCTACCTATTTGTTTCACCAACAGCTATTTCCAGACCATTCTCAATGTCTTATGCCAGTATCTGCAACTAATGTATTGAATAGAATCAATCCTGGGACCCGCTCTGGAGATTTCTTCCTAGCTGAGGCATTTCCATTTTGGCACAAGCCAACAGTGTCCCCCGCCAGAACGGGGTCTTTACAGTTCTTCTGCTGTGTTTGGTCAGAGTCCTGTTTTGTTTTTCTTTTCTAGTTTCTTAAGGATTTCCTGTGTAGCACCATAACAGACATTTTCTTTGTCAAGACAATCAAGACAGCAAGATTGTATCACGCTAAAGAACTGTCTAGCCTTGATAAGCTGTCTTGCCTTTATTCTATTTTCCATTTAACATTTTGTTCTGTAATTAGCATTTGCATTGGATGGTTTTGTAAAGGCTGTTAAAGTTGCACTACTCGGACAGTGCTTGGGCACCTCTCAGCTCAGACTTTGTAATGATTTTAAGAACTTATGAATAGTTCAAGGAACTATTTTACTTTTTTATGAAATTTGAAAAAATTCTTTAAATAATAAATGTGTTCATTAAATGTGTAAAACATAATTAGTTTATAACAAAATCTAGGTAGTTGCTTGGAGGAGGGTGATTTGAATCACCACCAGTACTTTGTCACACTGCCGAGATCGTGATTCCAGGTAGTCAAAGCGCGTGCGGCTGTGAAAGAGGATTTACTCATTGTTATTTTAATAAAAAGAATTAGTTAATCTGTGTTGTTCAACAGACCTATAACAGCTGGTAAGACAGTGCTTGACAAAGGGCTACAGTGTTGCAGACAGATTCATATTGTGAGATTCTTCCATCAATATACTTCACATGCACGTTGGTCTCTACCCTAGAGCCTGCGGTTTGTCTTCTGGGGAGAACCACAGCTAATGGAGAGGCAGCATCTCCTCTCCTCTTCCCATTTACAGAATTTCCTTCCTTCCAGTGCAATGAGCAACACTGTTCCCTCCAGAGATGAGGGAAATGTGAAAGGGAGTATATGACTGAAACCCACAGATCTTGTGCTGTAGTTTAACCAGAATAGCTTTTCCTAGAACGCTGGAAAGGAGGCGTGGAGGACTACAAGCAGAGGTGTTGACAGTAAGCACACTGTGATATGCTTTCTTCTTTAGGTGTTTTCTTAACTCTGTGCTGAACAACGCTGCTCCCTCACATTGGCACTTTGCTAAAGAGAGAGGTTCCTTGGGACTGCGCCTTTCTGCCAGGTAGAAGTTTCTCCATGGGCCATCAGGCAGATAAACATCAGGAGTTCATTGTGGGAGAGATTATCCCCGACTGGCACTGAGCTGGTGTCTGCAGCCAGGAGGAAGAGGCTCTGAGGATTTCGGTTTGGTAATGAAAGGCTGCAAGCAGGAAGCCTGATGGTGTCTGTTCCCTGCCCAGAGGGAAGAAAGTTCAGTATGAAGACAGCTGGGGGGTGACATAGTTTGTTCTTACCTCCTGGTGGCACAAAGCTGAGTAACCTGGTGCTAAGTCTTGTGTCTTTAATTAGCTGAGAAGCAGCCTGACAGCAAATCTCTTCTCTTGCTCAGAGGGTACTGCAAGGCTTTTTGAAGAGCAAGCGCCTATGTTTTGTAGTAACAAGGGTGCTATTGCAGTGGTATCAAGTAGGAAAGACGCGAATGCTTCACTGGTTACCGGAGCATAGTTCTGGTAAACAGCTATTACAATGGACTGAACTG